AAAAAAAAAAAAAAAAACAAAAAGACTTTCTTGGAGAAGGACTTTAAGAGATCCCTTACTACCAGATCCAAGAAATGAACAGCATATAACTTGTAGTGAAGATCTTATTTCAGCTGTTAAATTTAGGTGAAGACATATGGGAAAAACTATTTTCCTAGACATAACTGTCTTTAGCATGACATTCTGCTGTGCAGAGTGGAAACTAGAGTGAATAGCATACCTGGTCACATTTTTGATTTCTTGCCAAGGGAGGTGGTTAATTTGCAGGAAGTGCATATTTTGGGTCTAGCTTTTCCTATGGTATATTTGGAGCTAGAAGTTGCATGTATTTTATTCCAGAGCTGAACTGCTGCAGCTATATGAGCGCTGTATTCTATTAGATATTGAGTTCTCTGATAATCAGAATGTGGATCAGATCCTGTGGAAGAATGCTTTCTATCAGGTGATTGAGAAGTTCAGGCAGCTTCTCAAGGATCCGAATGTTGAGAACCCAGAACAGATTCGGAACAGACTTTTGGAGCTCTTGGATGAGGTAAACTGTCATCTTTTTGGATGGATAAAGGCCTCAGCACCCTGTAATTGTGATACTTTTTACCACCTGAAATGCTGTTTTAGAACAGAACATTGACACAAAACTATGCTCTTTTCTTGGGTTCTAGGCCTATTATGCCCCTGTTGTTTCCTTGGGACACTAACTTACTGACAATTGGAATTAGTTTTGAGCTTGAAAGCCTTCTGAATGATTTGACCTGAGAGAGAGAGAGAGAGAGTGAGAGAGACAAAGAGACAATGTGTGTATGTGTTTTCATATCATTAAAACTATGGAGGCTTATTCTGTGAATTTGTCTTGTCAGGTTGGTGGCCACTAAATACTATATGTGCCTCCCTTTACAAAGATGTCTGAGCATTAACAGAACTGTGAAAGGGTCATTTGCCCCAGGTCGGTGGGTATATTGGATCAGAATAGGTTGATTCAGTCATTTCTTCTTGTTTTCTCTCTATTAGGGGAGTGACTTCTTTGATAGTTTGCTTCAGAAGCTGCAGGTTACTTACAAGTTTAAACTGGAGGACTACATGGATGGTCTTGCCATTCGCAGCAAGCCATTACGCAAGACAGTAAGCCGGCTTTTTTATTTATCTTAAATTTATTTGTCCATTTAGCAAGTTATCTATTGTTATGTCCTAGGCACTGTGCTGGATATTGAAGATAAAAGAATGAAAGGTACAGTTCAGTGAGGAACGAGAGATTAAACCAACAGTTGTAATGACATAAGTGCTATAATAGTATATACTGAATATTGAGGGGAATAGAGCATCTGACTAATTTGGTGGGGTCAGAAACTGAGTCTTGAAATATGAGTTTGAAGGTGGGAGGGGCAGTTTAGACAGCAAGAGAGAACCAGGAGTTGGGAAAGTATAAGAAGTTCAATATGGACCAGGCATGGTGTCTCATGCCTGTAATACTAGCACTCTGGGAGGCAGAGGTGGGTGGATTGCTTGAGTTCATGAGTTCAAGCTTTTGCCTGAGCAAAAGCAAGACCCTGCCTCTACTAAAAATAGAAAAACTGAGGAAAGAGGATCACTTGAACCCAAGATTTGGAGGTTGCTGTTAGCTATGATGACATGGCACTCTATCCTGGGCAAAAGCTTGAGACTGTCTCAAAAAAAAAAAAAAAGTTCAGTGTGGTAGGGACTACATCATAATCTCTTATATGCCATGCTGAAGAGTTTGGACTTCATTCTGAAAGTATTATAGAGCTATTAATTGATTTTCAGCAAATCAATTAAATTAAAGTCAGATTTGTTCTTAGAACCAATCACTGGCAAATTGGTGGGTTTGGATGGGAGTTGGGCAGGAGTAGAGGTGGGGTAGTCAAGTTGTAGGTCTGAACTAAGATAGAGATAGTGGAGGTGGAAAAGAAGAGACCAGATTGGAAAGATATAAAGGAAATAGAACTGAATTGCTAACTAAGAGGGATGAAATTGGAGGTATGAGGAGTCTGGATCATCTTCCAGTTTGTGGCCTAGGGGAGTGGCTGCAGAGGAAGAGGTTAGTTCAGGTTTGGATATACTGAGGTGGAGGCGTCCAGCAGGAACTTGAAAATGAACAAATGAATATTCTAGTCAGTCTGGATGTCAGGAGAAACCTGAGCTGGTGATAATAGATTCAAGAGTCATCATTGTGGCCATTTTGTGGACACTGGGTAAAGTAGAGTAACAATGGGACTCTGACCAGAGAGGAGTAGAAAGCGGGAAGATCCACTGGAGCGTGCAGACTTGAGCCTCTGCACTTTAACTCTAGATTTCAAAATGCATCAAGATTCCTATCCATTGGAGTATAAGGTTTATGTAGCTAATCTTGGAAACAATGGCAACAAGACTGATTTAGAATGGGCTTTTGGCTATAATAGACAACTCTAAAGTGTATGGGTTGCTAGAAACCCTCCCAGCTTTGCTTTTGTTGAATTTGAAGATCCTCAAAATGCAGCTGATGCTGTCCAAGAGCTAGATGGAAGAATACTATGTGGCTGCCCTGAGAGAGTGGAACTGTCCAATGGTGAAAAAAGAAGTAGAAATTGTGGCCCACCTCCCTCTTGGGGTGTCACTCTCTAGATGATTATCAGAGGAGGGATCCTCCAACTTGCCGCAGATCTCCAAAGAGGAGAAACTTCTCTCTCAGCTAGAGCAGGTCCCTTTCCAGAGATAGGAGAAGAGAGAGAGCACTGTCTTGGGAGAGAAATCATAAGCCCTCCCAATCCTTCTCTAGGTCTTGAAGCCGATCCAGGTCAAATGAAGGGAAATAGGAGACCAGTTTGCAAGAGAAGTGGTGTACAGGAGATAACTTCATTTGGTTGGAGTATGTACAGAAATTTCAAGTTTTGTTTGAGACTTCATAAGCTTAGTGCGTTTTAAAGATATTTTAGCTGTTCAAATTTGTTTGTCTTTTGGAACAGTGACACAAAAAGTATAATTTGCTATGGTTTGATATACATCATATGAGGCATGTAATACCAAGAATTGTTACTTTATGATGTTCCCTTAAGCAAAATTGAATTTGCTTTGAACTTGAGTTTTGCATAGACTGATAATAAACCTCTAAATCCTAAAAACAAACAAACAAACAAAAGAGTCATCATTGTATAGGTAGTAGTTGAAGCAGATATTGGGATGCTGGAAAGACTGGCCAGAGAGGGAGGATCAGATTTCAAGGTGGAGGTGGGTAAAATTGTTGTGTACTGTGGACAAATGTTAAAGTTACTAAAAAGTGTCTATTGGATTAGCTGACCTTATTAAGAGTTAATTTAGGCCAAGTGAGGTGGCTTATACCTGTAACCCTAGCACTCTGGGGGATCAAGTTGGGAGGATCACTGGAACTCAGGAGTTCGAGACCAGCCTGAGCAAGAGTGAGACCCCATCACTACAAAAAATAGAAAGCTTAGCTGGGAATGGTGGCATGCACCTGTGGTTGCAGTGATATGTTACTCAGGATGTTGAGGCAGGAGGATAGCTTGAGCCTAGGACTTTAAGGTTGCAGTGAGCTATGATCATTCTAGCTGGATGACAGAAAACTAGACTTTGTCTCACACACACAAGAAAGGAGTTAATTTAGTTGGAGAGGGTAGAAGCAAGATTGTAATGAAGAGAGGTAAGGCTGCAGAGATAATGAAAGAGAATATAGCTCTTTTTTTTTTTTTTTGGAGATAGAGTCTCACTCTGATCCTGGGTAGAGAGCACAGTGTCATAGTTCACAGCAACCTCAAACTCCTGGGCTCAAGTGATCCTCTTGCCTCAGCCTCCTGAGTAGCTGGGTTAACAGATAACTGCCATAATGCCCAGCTTGTTTTTCTGTTTTTAGTAGAGACAAGGTCTCAATCTTACTCAAGCTGGTCTCGAACTCCTGAGCTCAGGCAATCTACTTGCCTTGGCCACCCAGAGAGCTAGGATTGCAGATGTGACCCACTGTGCCTGGCCTAGATCGTTCTTTTAAGAATCCTGGCTGTGTTGGCTTGAGGCCCACAGCTCAGTAGTTAGGGTGCTGGCTACATGCACCAGGGCTAGTGGGTTTGAACCTGGCTTGGGCCTGCTAAACAAAAAAATAGCTGGGTGTTGTTGTGGTGGGTACCTGTAGTCCCAGCTACTTGGGAGGCTGAGGCA